GTTGAATACAAATTTGCTCTACAGGAAAGACCCAAGGGAGCACCTTGACGTATTATTATAAAACAAATAACTTAACAAGGATCAATTAAAACACGCGACTAATAATTGCTAGCAATAAAATCTGACCCGAGATACCGTTTAAAACAAAAAAGAGTCAAACACACAGCGATATGAAAGAAATCTATTAAAACAGTCAAAGAAAGCAAGTCATGTTTTACTTACCCCTCTCCCTTTTCAATTTTATTTCCCTCCTCAATTTTTTCTTTTTCCCTTCTCCACAATTTTATTGTTTTCCCTCCTCCTCCTCCTCCTCCTCATTTTTGTTTTCCCTCCTCCTCCTCCTCCTCCTCCTCATTTTTATTGTTTTCCCTCCTCCTCCTCCTCCTCATTTTTATTGCTTTCCCTCCTCCTCTTCCTCCTCCTCCTCCTCATTTTTGTTTTCCCTCCTCCTCCTCCTCCTCCTCATTTTTATTGTTTTCCCTCCTCCTCCTCTTTTTTGTTCCCTCCTCCTCCTCCTCCTCCTCCTCATTTTTGTTTTCCCTCGAGGAGGAGGAGGAGGAGGAGGAGGAGGAGGAGGGAACAAAAATGAGGAGGAGGAGGGAAAACAATAAAAATGAGGAGGAGGAGGAGGAGGGAAAACAAAAATGAGGAGGAGGAGGAGGAGGAGGAGGAGGAGGAGGAGGGAAAACAATAAAAATGAGGAGGAGGAGGAGGAGGAGGGAAAACAAAAATGAGGAGGAGGAGGAGGAGGAGGAGGAGGAGGAGGGAAAACAATAAAAATGAGGAGGAGGAGGAGGGAAAACAATAAAAATGAGGAGGAGGAGGAGGAGGAGGAGGAGGAGGGAAAACAAAAATGAGGAGGAGGAGGAGGAAGAGGAGGAGGGAAAGCAATAAAAATGAGGAGGAGGAGGAGGAGGGAAAACAATAAAAATGAGGAGGAGGAGGAGGAGGAGGGAAAACAAAAATGAGGAGGAGGAGGAGGAGGAGGAGGAGGAGGGAAAACAATAAAATTGTGGAGAAGGGAAAAAGAAAAAATTGAGGAGGGAAATAAAATTGAAAAGGGAGAGGGGTAAGTAAAACATGACTTGCTTTCTTTGACTGTTTTAATAGATTTCTTTCATATCGCTGTGTGTTTGACTCTTTTTTGTTTTAAACGGTATCTCGGGTCAGATTTTATTGCTAGCAATTATTAGTCGCGTGTTTTAATTGATCCTTGTTAAGTTATTTGTTTTATAATAATACGTCAAGGTGCTCCCTTGGGTCTTTCCTGTAGAGCAAATTTGTATTCAACTTTGGGCTTGTGAACTCGCATAATTAACTGACTAACAGTGCGTGAAATTACAAGACTTTAATAGTTTTTCATTTCCTCGAGATAGAACGGAGAAAACGTCAGACAAAATTGAAATAGAGTTTTCAGTTCTACTTTGTGTATTTTGTTTATATGTATCCGAGTTTTAGAGCTCGATAAGAAGACATAAACTAAACGGAAATAAAGACTTTTCAACTCCACTTTGTGCACATGTGTTTTGTTTATATATCTGAGTTTTAGCGCTAAATAAGATATGGGAAGCCGTTTCTCGCGTTGCTAGGTGATCGCTTCTCTTATTCCTATTTTCCTTTTAATAGACTGTCCGAAAACCGAGCTCAAGGTACTTCACGGGCAAGTCTAGGCAAGCCTATTGTTCCTATTGTAGTAGAGTGACGCTCATTAGTAAACCTAATCCAAATTAGTATGCAGGAAGACACTTAATTAGTATGCAGGAAATCCAAATTAGTATGCAGGAAGACACTTATACATATTAATAAAGGGAATCCACTTTTTCCCCAGGTTATAACAATCGGTGACGTCATAGACTAGACCTAGCTAGACCGCGCTAGACACTAACGAGGCTTATCTTTGCTGAAGCCCTACTACTTAGGCTCTTGAAGCACTGAGTAAATGGCAGTCCTCCAGAGAAACGCTAATCAAAAGTTAAAAAGCATGACTGATTGCACTGGCATGTGATTTTCAAAATGCAAAACTTAAACTTGTAGTGACTATAACAATGCGGTAGCGGTTGGTTGTTAAATGATTTCGTTGAGTTAAGGGCGTACTTTTCTCTAGCACAAATGCCAGAAACACTCAAACAGCCCAGATTTGTGGAATGTTGTTTTCCTATTTGGATTAGCACAAAAAATCGCGATTCTAACAGTTTTGCCCTCCATAGAATTCATGCTACCTGAGTGCAATAGAAGACACTCAAATAAATCTCTCTCTCCTTTGATTTACTCTAAACCGTCTATAAAAACAATGAACAATAATTGCATTTCCGTCGGTAGCTTTTATTCCAAAAGTGTATTCTTAGGACTCAGCACCCTTGCAAAGGATAGATCAATTTATAGGTTTCTGGGGAACTGTCCACCTACCCCTCCCCTAAGCCATCATTTTGCTTTAAGTGAGAGGTAAGTGTTAATGTTAGTTTAGGGGAGGGGTAGGTGGACAGTTTCGCAGAAACCTAAATTGATCCCATAGGATTTACTCGCAACTAGTTTTGTTAGACTAGTATAAAACTATCGCGAAGATAAGTATTGTCGAATATTTAGTTAAGGTAAAAAAACCACTGCAAAAACCGTGTACCAACAATCTTGCTCAACGTGGGATTCAAAAAGATCGTGATCAGTCAAAATAGATAAAATTAAAAACGTTACAGTCAAGAAGACTTTTGCAGGGACAGATCAAACGACGTGAAATAGAGTTAAATTGGCAGGTTGAAATATCGCACCTTAACTCTATTTCACGTTGTTTGATCAGTCCCTGCAAAAGTCTTCTCGACTGTCACGTTTTTGATAAGTATTGTCATTAATTTGTGTTTGGCTAGCTTTTCAAGTGATACACCGGAGGTCATACAAATAAGAGGTTTTATGATATTCGACAACAATAGATTACATAGATGAAACTGTTGATGAAACTGATCTAGTTTTTTTTTAAATTAAAAGAGAGGAAACGAAACCGGCTCTAATCAAATGACTTATTGATTTCGTTCGCAGCGATAACCAACAATAAAGGAAGAAGCAACAACCAGTAGGCCACGAGAGAATTCATGTGGACCAAAATTAGATGATTGCGTTCCATAATTTCAGATAACTTCTAGCAACTCTTATTCTCGAGCAAGCGATGCTTCAGGGTGTATTTTTAAACATTGGAATATTTGGCCATAACACTATGAACACGACATCGTGTTTATTTCTGGAAGTAAATGGATATCGTTTCTAGTGCTTAAAGTGGTTTGACTAAAACTTTAATGTTGAAGCCATCCTGTTTATGCACATGTGCGTAAGAGAGCATTTGGATCGTCATATGGAAACGACTAAAGTTTGGGCATGATACCACATAGATCATGTACGAAATGGAGTACGGGTATATGAAATGCTACAAAATATTATTCGGAAACATTTACGTAGCCAGAGGAAATTAATAAAGCGAACTAAAGGCACTGTCAAATATCAGCTCAATCTGAAATAATTTTAATTGATTAGTTCTTCCGTGCATATGCGGCTTATTGAATTCTGACAGGTACAATATCTAAATATCAAACTGAATACTTATTCATGATACGATACAGTGTTTATTGTGGGTGGCTGATGCGGGAGAGTATTTTGTGATTCTCTCGTAAGAAACCCCGCTTTTAAACAAGTTCTGTTGTTTTTGAGCAAGGCGTCATCTTGGAAAACTGGCTTAAGTTAACCATAAACGAATATTCTCATAATAAAATGGTCTCATTAACATTTTCTGATTCACTCTCTATTGAGACAAACAGGAAACATTCCATGAACACGTGACATTCTGATACAATTCCGGGCACAAACATCATGAGGTATGAGTCTGTGGTAGAACTGTTGCAACAGTGGCCTACAAGCGGCAATAATTTTATCGTTATTATCACATAGTAGATCTACTATTCCCTGCCTCTCTTCGTTTACTTTTAAGGCGTTTGCCCAACGTGGTGGTGCACAGTGATACGAGATGAGCCTGGCCAGCTAGTAAACAAGAGACACTGGCAAGAAAGGCTTAGGATTGAGCAAACATTTCTAGTATCTTTAATAAAGTCAGTTGAAATGCGTTTTAATACTACCCATGTGAGGGCTACAATGGCCAATTGCACTGATAAAGGCAATGGCCCCCGACACTAATCTATATGATAATGAAATGAATAAGATCGCAAGAAAAAAAATTACGTGGCACGATTGGATTTGAAATAATCATTCCTCGAGCCCGAATGGACTCTGAGTCAATAGCCCATTTGGGCTCGAGGAATAATTGTTTTGGTAAAGTCCAACTAGTTGGTCAAAAATATCAAGACAAAACAACTTTAGCTAGCAAAACGCGATTCAGCCGCCATTGTTTTGGTTTTCAAAGCTGGCGCTTTTCGCTACTGGTGGTCTATAACATATAGCCTAGTAGTAGTTCAACCAGTCAGAACGTAGCATTGATAATAGACCACTAGTGGATTTTGCTAAAAATAAATATGTCTGACAACAAGAATATGATAAACGAGATTTATTAAGATTGATGTGTAGTTGGAAATACTTGTGGAAGCCAGTCTTTACTGAGAAATGACGAAATTAAACGAGTTCTTTTCTTCATGTCTACAGGAGTAATATTCCACAATCTTACATTAATGACCTTTTTCTTTCTTCAGGTTTTCTTTTGAATTCGAATTTTATACGCAAACCTTGAAGTTAATTAGTTTTGTATCACTTCTAAGACTGAAGGATATTCACCTTAAGCCAGTGTTAAGTGTTCTATATCCTGTCGATAGGCTGGACAACAACACCGCAGCGAAAGGCGACATTATCGTCGTATTCCTTCTTTGGCGCTGATTTTAAAATTTCTGCTCAATAAAAAGTTGAATAGCAGATTTGGGCACATCAGTCCGAGAACGCTGCTATCAGAATGTTCTCCTTCTCTTTTTTCTGTTAATCGCGATTCGACAAAAGCAAAACCTAAACAAGCCATGAGTTCATGCAAGAACTTGAATTTCCTCCAAGTCCCAGTCAACCACAAATGGCCTATGGGTCGACGACTCTTGGGTACAACGTTTGCTTTTTTTAACATGTGAAAGGCACGTGATGAAGTAGTACAACAGGCGGGCGACTTGAGAAAGTGCACAAAAAGCTACAAGGAGGCACAGCGCCAAAGGTGCCAAGCTAAGAAGACCGATCTCGATCCACTGTACAGCATGGAAGAGGTCTTTGCTTTGTCCTGTGGGATCTATTCCATGAGAAATGAGCGTAGCTTCGGTTAAACTGAACATGCAAATAACAACTAGGCTCAGCAGAGAAAAGCCTTCACAGATGTTAGCTTTGCGTTCGCAAAAAGGCCTCACTGTGAGGTGATGGACCAGAATAATAACACATGCGCAACTGAGGCAGACAAAGCGAATAGTGGGGTCAGTAGCGAATGTATGGATGACCAACAGAATCAATCTTCTGCCAGTCAGTACGCCTTCCCAGTATAGGGTGCCTTGATCCTCGCTGGAGCCTGCGCGAAATGGACCGTGGAGAACCTGCTTTATTTCTTTCGCATCGTCAACGCATCCAACGTTAAGCATTTGTTGATCATCTTTTTTTCTATATTCACGAAACATCCAAAAGAGAAGGCAAGGCAACGGGAATGCGCAAGCTATTAAAAATTCCTTGGCCGTTACTTTGTCTTTGCTAAGTCTCAATGATCCCCAGAAAAGAACTAGAACGAGGGGGATGATGAATGACATTATGAACGAGGTAAGCAGGAACTGCCACCACTGCCAACACTGAATGGTTCCATCGACGAAAAGACGCCAATCCTTATCAATAGGAACACAATGCATAAGTTTAAGGGATGTATCAGCAAGTCTTTCATAACCAAGCAAAAGTGTTTCTAAAGCAACAGCCAGGTATAATTTTATTGATGGTGGAGCTGTGTGCAGGGACCTACTGGTGGCCCTATGAAGTACATAAATAAGACCAATGGAAAGCAACGTTCCTAAGAACTTCATACACTTGAACAGTTCCTTGGTTACGGCAGTGAGACCAGGAAATGGACAGCCAATGCTACCGTCCAATGATTTGACCTGGAAATTAAAAATTGCAATGATGGGAGGAATAATGGGTACCAAATGAAACGTTTTCTCTGGAGACTTAATCATTACCACTTCTGCCACTTGATAAAAATAAAAGATGATTTTTAGATATCCAAAATCGTGTTTTTTATCCTCTTTCAATGACGTCTGCCTGAAGACACTTTCAGCAGGTTTATTCTTAAACCAAAGACTCTGCTTTAGTAACCCTGAGAAAATGGGAGGCTTGAAGACAATGTAAACTGCAAAAGCAGCCACATAAATCCCAGTCGCCAGCCAAAACCAGTTATTATTACATTTGTCTTTCTTTCTACACGAAGTTGAATAGAGTGCCTCACTGTACCCATCAGAACACTTGCCACAAAGCACACCGTCCCTTCTTCCATGACAGCTGTTGTGACCATAGTGGGTGGAATTGCTTGGTCTGTTGCAGTATTCAGATGGACAGTGAAAAAATTTTAGACTTGGAGGACTCGACGAGGTGTCTTCCAAGCCCCAGAAGTTCTCTTTGGCTTTGATGGTTCCATTTGCACAAGACGCTCCGTATGGACATTTAAGACATTTAGTTTCTTTTCTGTTTTTCAAACCAGTTGTAAGTCCCCTTTGTAGAGTATAAGATCCAGAAGGGCACTCTTCGCAGAATATTTTAACGAAATTTATTTTCATCCAACATATCCCGCTTTCTTTCGAAAACTCGTTTTCTTCGTTGATACCCATTCTGAGCCACTTGCCAGACGGGCACTGTATGGTAGAACTTAAATCTGCTCGCAGTAAACTGCTCCTTGTAACAGCTAAGATTGGGTAGAACTTCTTGCTGATGTTTGCTGTAAATGACGAGTTTCTGATAATGACCGGTCCAGCACTCTCAGAATACAAAAAGCATCCATCATTTAAAATTCGTCGTGGCCCTGTATCAAAATGCTCATACAAACGTGTCTGTAGGAAGTTGCTACTTACGATGTTGAGTCTTCCGTAACCGATCTTCATTTTAATATGCGCTCCCAGAGTTAATCCTTCGTTGTCTTTGAAAGAGCAATTTTTGAAAGTGATGTTTCCATTGAAGAAATTCAATGTTCCTGAGGTAGCGAAGTTGTTTTCGAATATGCTGTTTTCAAATAGCACCGGAAACTGATTTTTTTTATCCCATACATCTCTGCTGTTGTAGTTTCTCTTGAGGCATTCCGGAGGGGCCTCCTCATCAAATAGAATCTTTACGGTCGGTCGTTCGACCAGTCGATAAAGAAATTCAGAATTGTTCAGAAACTTGGAGTTCTTTACGTATATTTTGCCCGTTACATTCCTTTGCATTTTTACATAGAGTACGCTGTTATGGAATTTTTGAAAGGTTACGTTTTCGAGAATTAAAACGCCTTTAATAAAATTCGGCCTGGGTGGAGTGAGAGAAGAACACATTGACTGCACGATAACCCTAACTGCGCCACCGTCCAGTCGAGATAAGTTTCCTCCTACGAAAAGACTGTTGTTCACAACTAGTATCAGGCTGTATGCTTGGCATAGGAATGAATCACGGCGAATGGTCATTTTTATTCCTATTTTGTTGTTTGATAGAATGCAATTGTCCAGTGATAGCCGTACATCTGGAACCCTGGTGCTTATTTTAGGAGATACAGCGCCCAGTAAAGCATAACCATAGGTAGAATTAATTGTCACCCGACGCAGCTGTACGTAAAATCCGACCACAACCGACATGGCATTCTCGTTGCATAGGAAGGTGCAGTTAGATATCAATAAACTTCCACTTCCACTGACAAAGGAGCCATAAGACCGAAATGATAATGCAAAGCTATTGTCCTCGTGACCAAGGTCTCGAAAGAGACAGTCAGTAATTAAGCCGTCTGTGAATACCATCTCTGTCGGGTATCGGTTGTACCTAATGTTTACCGCCGCAGCTCTTGTGAATTTCTTAACAGAAGCTCCATTAAAATGTCTTTTCCTGCCCTGAAAGACACACCTCGACATTCTTAAGGTGAACAACCCTTGATACAACATGGCGTGGACGGACATTTTATTGTGCAAGAATTCGCTGTCAGTGACGACGATGGAAGATTTTGTCTGGATTCTCGACTCTTTCTGTACTATACTAACTGCGACGGAGCTGTTTATAAACCTGCAGCTTGATATCGATACATTGAAATAGCTCACATAGGTTAGATCGACTCCATAGCTGTGGAATACAAGGTTGGAGAGAGTTAATTTAAAGAGGCGATTCTCAGGATATCTAAAATTAAGATTGCCGTAGTGTGGATCACATGTAATGTGTGCCTTTGAAAACAAACCAAATATTGCCACACTTTTGCCAAACTCTCTCGAAACATTCCCTCTGAAAAAACAGCTGTAAGGATGTCTTTCACTGTTTCTTCCATCCAGACAGATCTTTCCTCCATCCCTCACCAACAGCAGTGCTTGTGGCAAAGTTTGGCACGGCTCGGTCCAAGAACCGCATTGTGGTGTGTCTTGGCCACTTTGATGGGAAACAAAAATACGATCAAATTTCGTTGCATCACCGCCTAAGGAAAATAGGTTAAGATCAGTATTTGTCAACAAGTTGTACCTCATTATCAGCTGTACTCGCACGAAATGAAAACAGTTGTCAAAGGCTTACTACACTGTGAAAGACCGGCTGTCGGCTGAAGATAAACTGTCTTTTTGGGAATTAGCAATTATCTTTGCTTATCAGTTCATTATTCGTAACGCGACGAATTGTAATGGACTAGTGTAACTGAAACTATAACGTATGTACGGTAAGTATTTTCATTAATTTATGACTATAACTTTTCAAGTGATCCACCAAGTCGTAAAAATTTTAAAATGCTTTACGATATTCCTAAACAATGGATGAAACCGGTAAACAATCTAGTTTAAAAAGGATGGAAATGAAACCTCTAACTTACTGATTTTGTTTATAGCGAGTACCAACAGTAAAGAGAGTACTTGAAAGAGCCACCGGTAGCGAAGGCGAGAATTCATGTCGACGAACGTAAGATTACTACGATGCGCAATACTGCGCTGGATAATTTGTAGTAACCTTTATTTCAGAGCAAGGGACGTTTAAAGTATTTAATATGTGGCCACAGCACTAAGCATTACGTCATTGTTGTTATTTCTGGAAAAACTATATATCGCTTCTAGTCTTGAAAGTACTTTGACCGAGATTTTGAATCGTACATATAGTTTAGAGAGCAAAACATTCTTCATATGGAAACAGTTCTGTCACTAGTTTTCCAACTTCATAACGAACTAAATGGAATGCAGACTTATGAAATAAAAATGTGATTTTGTAGGGAGGGGGGCGTAAGGGTTTGCGGTGATGCGGTTTTGCGTTATTTTTGGTGCGGTTTTGCGGTAATTTTTATTTTAACTCGCGGTATTGCGGTTTTTAAACATTAAGCGGTTTGCGGTTATTACAACTTTTAAGTCGCGGTTTTCGGTGAAAAAAAAAGTGTCTGCGGTGATAACACTCTCTAGAACGGTCGGCATCCGGTTGTTTAGCAAGCGCGAGCCAAGTGTTTTGTTTTACAACGCATCAGGGTTCATTATATCAGCTTACAATTTAACTCTGTGGTTTGCAATTACGGCCTTTTCCAGTTAATACTTAATGTGATTAACCGTTTTGGCCAATGATGCGTCGACTTCGTGAAATTTCATGCCGGATGTTAGCTCGTACAGCCGTACAGCCTCGTGTTCTCGTTGCTTTTATTCAATGCGCGACAATGGAAACTGAGGTCGTTGAGGTCGCAACTGAAAGGTCTGAAAGCGAAGAGGACGTAGTAATTAATTGCGTGGCAATCTTCTATGAAGAAGGAAAGGAAGGGGAGAATTTCAGAAAAAAGAACAAATTTCGTTGTAAGGTAAACAAAAATGAGAAGCGCCTCATTAAATTGAGAGAGACAGTTTGGTAAGTACTACCACGTTCAAAGCTCGCCTTCACAGTCCAGTTGACAAAGTGACTACTCTTGGGAAAAACCTCAAGGCCAAGGAGATCCATTGCTGCGAAGGTATCATATTTCTGGCTTCCGACAGTGGTCCAATAAAGGTAATCGAATTTAAAGAAGGATCGATTTACATGACAAACAAAGAAAAGAAGAAGAAGGATGAACGTATCACCTGCTGGGACTGTTGCAGAGATAACGTCAAGGCTAAAAAAATATTCTGAAGCTGTCAAACACCATTATTTAACGCACACTGTCCGGAATGACGAAATTCATTTCTGGGATAGAGTAACGCAGCCAAGCTTTGAAGTTATGGTTTGTGTAGACAGTGATTTGATTTATGCAGCTGAAGTCATTGATAAATCAATCATCTCCCTCCAAATAGAAAAGTACGGTGTTGTTGTTAAAGGTATGAACTTTCAGGCAATTGTTCCTTACAGGCCCGCCTGGAAGAAGGTAAACAGCATGTGCCTTAATAGCGGGAATCTATTCCTTTCACATGGGCAAGGAATAAGCACTGTCAATCTGGAAACCTGTGAATACAGATTAGCCGTGGAGCTTACTAATCAGCCCTGCGTTCTGACAAGTTTTGGCGAAGACGTCCTGTACACAAACCAAACGAAGGCGTCTGTATGGTAACTAAGTGATAACGGCAATCACCTACGTTTGTTTGCAGGCTCTGACGAAGAAGAAGGGCGTACTGATGGCCCGGTCAAAGAGTGTCGCTTCAAGCAACCGGTAGGCATCTGCTCTGAGTTCGCAAGTGTGGTTTATGTTTGTGACGCTCAGACGAACTCCATCAAACTCTGTACCAAACTACAAGAACGCGCACACTTTCTCAAAGCAATTGGCTGTCTCTACGAAGCCTTTTCCGTGCACGACAGAGGTGCTCATTTCTCGGTCAAGTCTTCAGAAGAAGCCATTGGTCTTGTGGGGCAGTGCAGACAGATGCTTGACGAGAACACCCGTGACATTCAAAAGTTGACTGGCATCCACACCACACTTAATGGACCGCAGGGGCATGTGTCTGCCAGGACAGTGGCACCAGTTGCCATGATAGACAGGTCTACAGAGATTGCATGCTAACCTGAAACAATTTATGTATGACCACACAAACCTATTAAGCTGCATGACGCTTGATGTCGAGAACTGCCACGCTGCTGTACATGTAAAGCAGGCAAACTTATCCCAGGCAGAGTACTGCAAGTCATTCGGAACTACTATGAAAGAACCGGTAAAACGCGTAACCAACTGGGCAGCGTACTATCACACGAGCAGGCGATCATGGTACCCCACTCCAGAGAGAGCCTTGTTGCTGTCCCAGGTTCCTGTGATGAATCCTCTTCCTATCGTCAACATGTGTCAAGCAGACTGTGATTCACTTAGGGACTGGGCCGCCTCCTATGGAGCTGCCGTAAGACAGCGAACTGTACGCCAAGAGACCACTATGACACGACACGGTACACTCCCTGAGTTTATGTACCAGAGACAATGTGAAATCTTTGAGAACCCTGTCTCCATTGCGTTTGACGTGCAGTCTGATGATACTTCAGACGATGCCGCAGTAAACCAGGAAGAGGAGGGGGACAATTTTGATGAAAGCAGCGATGAAGAAGTTGAAGAAGATTCCACGTTGCTCCAAGGGGAAATTGGAAGTTCGGCGACATTCTTAATAGGTGCAAGAACTCGGTACGGAAGAGCTGTACGTTTTAACAATCGTCTTCTCCACTAAACGTAAACTCCTTACGAGACAAGAAAGTCACAATTCCAGAAGAAACATTTATTCCGCGTTCCACAACTAGCACAGGGTCGTCCAAAGTAATCAGTCACCCAATGTAAGACGTACAGGATCAGTGACAAAGTTTTTCAAAGTCAATGGAGATATCAATACTCGTTCAAGTACATGACCAGCATACTTGGCATTTGGTTAGTAGTAAATAGAGTATAATAGTGTAGTACAATATATCGTTAGCGTTATGATGGTATGTTTAATACTAACGCATAATGTTATCCGAATATATCCCAAATCTTGCTAACGTCAGCTTTCATATTGCGGCCTACATGTACGCGCGGTTTCGGTATTCGGGAAAAAATCCGATGCGGTTTGCGGTTTTTTGGCGTATTTCGGTGCGGTTTTGCGGTTTTCGGACCCCCCTTACGCCCCCCTCTGTAGGAGTGACGTGTCCTGAGATCATTCATTGATAAACACACTGTTTGCATGGTTAAATATTAGCTCATTTCAAAATGATAAAATAATTTCTATATTAGTCCCATACCCTATATTTTTCCGAGCACGCGTTTGCATAGGACCAATTAACATATAAAATACCTAGACATCACATATTACCAAACTAGACTGCTTTTGATGGCAGGATATTGTCCTTAATAAAGCGGCTGTTTGATGCGAAAGATAAGCTGGGCCCTGTGCTTCTCCCATAGGGCTGACTACCTACAATGACATGTACGCGGAAGTTCCGCTCGAAAGGGTACCTTTTTCAGGCGCCAGGTACATGAAATGGTAGGGGTTTCACAATTTGAAGAATTTGAAAGGGTGGTTTAAGTTAACCCTTATTAAATGTTCTTATTACATAACAGTCTCTGTAAAGTTTTTTAATTCACTCGTCAACTTTCCAAGAACACGTGACGTCTGATACAAGGCTGGGTACAAACAGAGGGCATTCTTCTCGTCCCCACTCCCCCCAAAGAAAAACGTATTTTCTTGGTCATAAATTCGTACGAACTAAGGTCCATGTTGTTTTTGTTTTGTGCGAGCTCGGCTTGAAAACTGAATACTAAAAATACGATATCAGCTGTGGTCAATAACAAGCTCGCATAAATCAGTAATCTTGATTTCAACCGTAGTTTTGCCGTTTGAAACTAAGACTGATCGTGTTACATAATGAAATAATCATGATGACTGGGTGACCTGTTATCACAAAACAGTGTCTGTATTGAACAAGGGCAATAGCTCTCAGTAGTATGATTTATTCACGAATATTCCTTTTTTTTGTTCGAAATCGCAACATCTCTGTTCAAAATCGAATCAAGTTGGCCTTATATCGCATCGCATTATTTTTGTTTTGCATAGGATATTTAACAATTATTCCTTGAGCCCGAATGGGCTCTGAGTCAATAACCCATGAGGCCGAAGGCTGATTTACGTTTTTCTGAAGTCAAAATCTAACCAACATAAAGTTACATAGCCGCTTGATGCACATAATTAGACGCTGACATCAAATGGACTCCATCTCTCCTTTTTGTCAGGTAGGATGCAACTACATGTAGCATAAACTGTAAAACTGATGAGTTTATGCAATGACTTGAAAGTCGCCACAAATAGCCAAAGAGTCGACGACTCTTCAGACTTTTCCGTACAACATTTCCAGTTAATAACATGTGAAAGGCACGTGATGAAGTGTATTTGTATTTTGTATTTTATTTTTACTCCATCCTATCGATAATACATTAGTTGTACAATATTAATTAGTACAAGGTTGTTTAAACTACGTCTACATAAGAAAAAAATGGAGAAGGGCACATTATAGTATAACTAATTATGGCCCTTTAACAAGATTGACTTTATTCTATTTTAGCTTTGTTGTTCATTAAAACACAAACACGCACGCACGCACACACACACACAGACACACACAAGTCAATATTGAGCAAGATAATATTTTTTAAGTGCCTTTTGGAACAGGATTTCGATGATTTATTGCGTATAGAAAGCGGGAGATCGTTCCTTTCTTTGACATATTCAAATAAAAGACACCAACAGGAACTCTTACACGAAAAAATAAATTATTTAAGGCAGCAAATAAAACTAAACTAGCCAGCTTCAAAAGACGCAGCCATCATCATCGCTGACCGCTGACCGCTCTCATCTTTCGTGATGAAGTGGCACAACAGGCGGGCGACTTGAGAAAGTCTAATTATTCATGATAACGATACAGTGTTTACAGTGGACTACTGATATAGGAGAGTAGTTTGCGCTTCTCTGGTAAGAAGCCACTTTTTTAACACGTCCTGTCGTCATTGATTTTTTCAACAGCACATGCGCATCATCTTATTGACTTGGCGTAATTTGAACGTTATAAAATGTTCTTATTATAAGCGAGTCTCGTTGACGTTTTATGATTCACTTCCTTTTGAGGCAAATAGATAACATTCCATGAACACGTGACAGTCTGATCATACAAGGCTGGTCACAAGCAGGGGACAATATACTCACCCCACCACGAAAAATATCGACTTTGGTTGTAAACTCATACTTATAAATTGTTTTGGTTTTGTTTGCTGTACTCCTCACTCTAGACCTGAATCTTACTTAGGAGACTTCAATATATATATTTGCAGACAATGTAAATAACAAGCTCACAAATCACTTTAAAATGATATTCGTATTTTATGGTGAGTGCTTCGCGACTTCTGATCACAATACAGTGTCTGTATTGAACAAAAGCAATTTGCAAGATATTATTACGGGGTTACCCTGGCAACAGCGAGCCTGTGGTACAATTTAAGGTTAGTTAGCAGCGTTTGGTGCATGAGTGGAATATGAGTTTTTGGTTAAATACATTTCTTGATACCAATTTTTGTTTCACCTTGAAGGATGGTTACCTTCACAAAACGCTACAGGCAATAACCCGCTTCAGCGTTAACAGGAAGTATTTATCTTAACAGAAAGTTGGTTGGCGAAAAGGCCGAAATAAATGTAAACTACATTTGAAAATGTTTAGGAATGTTACACTAGGTAAATTTCCCAAATATTTAATCAAATAAGTGAGAAACGCACTAAGAATACATTGGAAATTGAAGAATGATTCTCGGTGAAACCAGTTAGCAATGGTGGTGCACAACCAGCGTTAATTTAGCTGGCTTTATTTTCACATAATAGCTTATATCACAATGCCGGATCCAGACCTTGAGATAAGAGGTGGGGGGGGGGCGGTTCCCCCCCCCAAAATTTTTCGGCCCTTCTGAGAATAAAGGGGGGCGGGCCCCCGCCGCCCTGGTCCCTCCCCTGGATCCGCCACTATATCATGATATTCGGTACACTGTTGTTGGTATTGATCGCGGTTTGGTGGTGCATGGGGTAGGCCAAGTCAGCATGCAAATACACGGCACTAGCAAGGCCCGGAAAGCTGAGGACTTAGCTAAAGGTTAAAGTACTGATTCATAGGAACAGCTGCAGAATGTTTAAGCACGACCTATGAAAGGTTTATTTTGCAAGTATGGAGCAGCCCAGATGAACTTTTTACAAAAATGATAATAAAACGCTGTGGCTTTCTTCTTTATTCAAGGAGGGTTACATTTGGTCAATTTTCATGGCCCTCGACATTAAACTACAACTAAAAAATTTAAAAAATCACAAAACCACAGACAAAGTACTACTATAGAATTAAAATAAAGTTGACTACGTGCAATAGGAATTAAAATTACACTGCGTGAAAAACTAAACTAATTAATATTTATCAGAAATACAGTGTTTTATCAACTGAAGGGTTGACTAGGCATTTTATTACTATATAGTTTTGCCTGACTACACGATGGTGTAGCACTCTTGCGATAAAATGGCTTGTCATCTGAAGAGTGCTACACCACCGTGTATTCAGGCAAAACTATATAGTAATTTAATACCTAGTCAAACCTTCAGTTGATAAAACATTGTACTTCTAGGTATTCTCGCTCTAGTCCCTCTATTGAACACTCTGACAGCAGTTCTGCTTCAGCTGAAATCAAGTATTAATTAATATTTATATTTGTGCAAAAATACGTTTGTAGAAGAGAGTCTTTAAATATATTGAATGAGTTCTTTTTACCCATTCTACAGGAGCACTGTTGCACAATCTTCAAAGGCACTTGTCACCTCAAAGATTCTTCCACCTTCAGTTTTTCTTCTGAATTTAGGACACACGCCTTGAACTCTTACGACTAAGACTTAAAAAAAATGTAACTGAACTATTTGAAAAATCCCCCTTCGTTTAATATACAGGGAAAAATGACTACTGATAATTAGTAAATAGGTTGGCGAAGGTTACCTTAAAAATTACCTTAAGCAAAAAGCTTTCTTACTCCCGACACCTGCAGATAATTCCTTCAGAATTGTTATTTTTTCCCAGTCTCTGTAGAACATAATTAGTTCGTCAACTGATACGTACTACTTAAATCATGTCACTCAGCTTATTTACTTGGACTGATATTATGTATATCACTTTTTGCACTTTGTACTATTTGTTTCTCCTTTAGAGTGTGATGTGATAAGTTCTTGAAAAAAATAGGTTGGCGAAGAACTCTGTGAATGGAATTTAACTGATTGTCCTTTTTTGGGCTGAGTTACGTTTTTCTAAAGTAAAGATCTAATCAACATAAAGTTAAATAGCAGCTTAGTGCACATAGCTGGACGCTGCCATCAAAATGGACTCTATCTCTCCTTTCAGTTAGTTACTTAGCATGCGCGCGCAACTGTAGCATAAACTGTAAAACTGTAGCATATGAGTCTAGGCAATGACTACAAAGTCTTCCGAGTCCCAATCCACCACAAGTGGCCGAGGTATCAACGACTCTTGAATACAACATTTCCGGGTAATGACACGTGAAAGGTACGTGATGCAATGGAACAACAGGCGGGCGAGTTGAGAAAGTGCACAAAAAGCTACAAGGAGACACAGCGCCAATGGTGCCAAGCTGAGGAGGCCAATCTCAATCCACTGTAAAGCATAGAAGAGGTCTTTGCTTGGGCCGGAGGGATCTATTCCCTGGGAAATAAGAGTAGCTTCGGTCAAACTGAACATGCAAATAACAACTAGGCTCAACAGAGAAAAGCCTTCACAGATGTTAGCTTTGCGTTCACGAAAAGGCCTCATTGTAAGGTGATGAACCAGCATAATAACACATGCGCAGCTAAGGCAGACAAAGCGTATAGTGGGATCAGTAGCGAATGTATGGATGACCAACAAGATCAATCTTCGTCCAGTCAGTACACTTTCCCAGTATAGGGTGCCATGATCTTCGCTGGAGCCTGCGCGGAATGGACCGTAGAGAACCTGCTTTATTTCTTCCGCATTGTGCACTTTTTCAGAATTAAGCATTTGTCGATCATCTTTTTTTCTATATTTACGAAAAAACCAAACGAGAAGACAAGGCAAAGGGAATGCGCAAGCTATTAAAAATTCCTTAGCTGTCACTTTGTCTTTACTTAGTTTCAGTGATCCCCAGAAGAGAACCAGGACGAGGGGGATGATGAAAGACATTATGAACCCGATCAGCAGGAACTGCCACCACTGCCAACACGCAATGTGAGCATCAACGAACAGAAGCCAATCTTTTTCAACAGGAACACAGTGCATAAGGTTAAGGGATGTATCAGCAAGTCTTTCATAACCAAGCAACAGTGTTTCTAAAGCAACAGCCAGGTATAGTTTCATTGATGGTGGAGCTGTGTGCAGGGACCTACTGGTGGCTCGATGAATCGCATAGATAAGACCGATTGAAAGCAACGTTCCTAGGAACTTCATACACTTGAACAGTTCCTTGGTTACGGCAGTGAGACCAGGGAATGGACAGCCAATGCTACCGTCCAATGATTTGACCTGGAAGTTAAAAATTGCAATGATGGGAGTGATAATTGGTACCAGATGAAACGTTTTCTCCGGAGAATTAATCATCACCAGTTCTACTACTTGATGAAAATAAAAGATGATTTTTAGATACCCAGAATCTTGTTCTTTATCTTCTTCGCAGGTTCTCTGCTGATCACTCCGGAAAGGTTTATTCATAAACCAGAGACTGTGCTTTAGCAGCTTCGAGAAAATGGGAGGCTTGAAGACAATGTAAACTGCAAAGACAACCACGTAAATCCCAGTCGCCAACCAAAACCAGTTATTATTACATTTATCGTTCTTTCTACACGAAGTTGAATAGAGTGCCTCACTGTACCCATCAGTACACTTGCCACAAAGCACACCGTCCCTTTTTCCATGACAGCTGTTGTAGCTGTTGTTATCAGAGTGGGTGGAATGGCTTGATCTGCCGCAGTATTCAGTCGGACAATGAAAAAATTTCAGACTTGAAGGACTCGAAGAACTGTTTCCCAAGCCCCAGAAGTTCTCTTTGGCTTTGATGGTTCCATTTGCACATAAAGCTCCATATGGACATTTGTCACATTTAGTTTCTTTCTTCTTATCTAAACCAGATATAAATCCTCTCTGTAGACTATAAAATCCAGAAGGACACTCTTCGCAAAATATTTTGACGTACGTAACTTCAATCCGACAGGTCTCGCCTCCTTTAGTAAACGTAAAACGCTTGGTAATTTGGTTCAAATCCATTTTAAGCCACCTGGCATATGGACATTTAATGGTAGAAGTTGCATCTACTTCCAGTAAACTGCTCTTAGTGACAGCTAAGATCGGGTGGAACTTCTTGTTAATGTTTGCTGAAAATGACGAGTTTCTAATAATAACCGGTCCAACGCTCTCAGAATACAAAAAGCATCCATCATTTGAAATTCGCCATGGCTCTACATTTGAATGTGGTTTTAAACGTGACTGAAGAAAGTTGCTGTTGATGACGTTAAGACTACCGTAACCTATTTTCATATAAATATGTCCTCCCAGAGATGATCCTTCGTTTGTCTTTGAAAGTGCAATTTTTGAAAGTTATATTTACATTGAACAAATTCAATGCTCCTGAGATAGCAACGTTATTTTCGAATATGCTGTTTTCAAATATCACCGGAAACTGAGGTTTTGTTATTCCACAAAAATTTTACTGTTGTGGGTTTTTTGAGGCATTTTGGAGGGTCCTCCTCATTAAATATGATCTTTAACAGTGTGTTTTTCATCCAGGTGATAAACAAAGTAAGAATTGTTTAGAAACTTGCAGTTTGTAACGTTAATGAAGCCAGTTACATCCTTTTGCATTTCTACATAGAGAACGCTATTATTGAATTCTTGAAAGGTGACGTTTTCGAGAGTAACTTTGCATTTGAGATCATTTGGTCTGCGTACAGAGAAAATTGCACCCAGTAATAGCCTAATTGCGTCACCTAACTGTCGAGTCTCGCTTCCTCCGACGAAAAGACTGTCTTTAACAAATAATATTTTGTTGCTGGGTGGGCATGCGCCGCTGTAATGCGGAGGGCAGGGTGACGAAGTGGTTGTCATTCTTATTCCAATTCTGTTGTTTGCTAGAATGCAGTGGTCCAGGAACAGCTTTAAATCAGGAACCGTGTGCTTTATTTTAGCAGGTCCAGCTCCAAATAAAGCATAACCATACGTAGAGTTTATTGTCACCTGACATAGATGTACGGAAAATCCGCCCGCCACTAACATGGAATTCTCATTGCGAAGGAAGGTGCTGTTAAATACTGACAAGTTTCCACTGCCGTAGATGCCAGAAGACCGAAATAACAAAGCAAATCTATTGTCCTTATGACCAAGGTCTTGAAAAAGACAGTTAGTAATTACGCCGTCTGTGTATACCTTGTTTGTCGGATATCCTTTGTACTTAATGTATACCGCTGCTTTTGTTACTTTATCACCAGAAACTCCATTAAAACGTCCTTTCCTGCCTTGAAAGACACACGTCGCGATTCTTAAGATGAACAACCCTTTATGCAAGATGGCGTAAATAGACATGTTATTGAACAAGAATTCGCTGTCGGTGACGACGATGGAAGATTCTGAGAAGATTCTCGATTCTTTCTGTAATACACCAACTGCGATCGAGCTTTTTATAAACTTGCAGCTTGATATCGATACATTGAAACCGGTCACAAAAATTAGGTCGACTCCATAGCTGTGGAATACCAGGTTGGAGAGAGTTAATTTAAAGAGGCGATTCTCAGGATATGTAAATTTAAGATTGCCATAGTTTGGATCACATGTAATGTGTGCCTTTGTGAACAAACCGTATATTGCCACACTTTTGTCAATATAAACATTCTTTCTGAAAAGACAACTGTAAGGATGTCTTTCACTGTTTCTTCCATCCAGACAGATCTTTCCTCCATCCCTCACCAACAGCAGTGCTTGTGGCAAAGTTTGGCACGGCTCGGTCCGAGAACCGCATTGAGGTGTGTCTTGGCCACCTTGATGCGAAACATAAAGACAATCAGTTGGCGTTGCATCACCGCCTATGGAATACAAGTGAAGATATTAGTGAACAAATTGTGCCTGCCTATAAGCTGTACGCGCCCGAAATGAAAACAGTTGTCAAAGGCTTACTACATTGTGAAAGATCAGCTGCCGGATAAAAATAAGCTGCCCGTTGGGGACTCAGCAATTATCTTTGCTTATCAGTTAATAATTGGTAACGCGAAGTTGTAGTGGACTAGTGTAACTAAAACTGTAACGTAGGTACGGTTAGTATTTTCATTAATTTATGACTAACTCCTCAAGTGATTCACCAAGTCGTAAAAATTTATGTTTTATGATATTCCAAAACAATGGATGAAATAGATCAACAATCTACTTAAGAGAGGATGGAAATGAAACCTCTAACTTACTGATTTTGTTTATAGCGAGTACCAACTGTAAAGAGAGTAGTTGAAGGAACAACCAGTAGTAGCGCAGGCGAGAATTCATGTCGACGAACATAAAATTACTACGATGCGCAATGCTGGGCTGGAAAATTTGTAGCAACTCTTATTTCAGAGCAAGGGACGCTTAAGTTATTTAATTTTTGGCCACAGCACTAAACATTACGTCATTGTTGTTATTTCTGTAACCACTGTATATCGCTTCTAGTTTTAAAAGTACTTTGACCAAGATTTTGAAACGTAAGCATATTTTAGAGAGGAAAACATTCTTCATATGAAAACAGTTCTGTCACTAGTTTTCCAACTTCATAACGAACTAAATGGAGTGCAGACTTATGAAATAAAAATGTGATTTTGTAGGAGTGACGTGTCCAGAGATCATTCATTAATCATTCGCACAGAATGAGTAAAATAATTTCTATACTAGCTCCATACCCTATATTTTTCAGTGCACGCGTTGCTTATTTAGTACCCGCAGATACAATATCTAGAAATCATAGCCAAACGTAGATTGTTTTTGATGGCACGATATTGTCCTCAATAAAGTGGTTGGTTAATGCGGCCCTCTCCCATAGGGCTGACTACCTACAATGACATGTACGCGGAAGTTCCGCACGAAAGCGGTACCTTTTTCAGGCGCCAGGTATGTGAAATGGTAGGGGTTCCTCAATTTGAAGAATTTGAAAGGGTGGTTTAAGTTAACCCTTATTAAATGTTCTTATTACATAACAGTCTCTGTAAAGTTTTTTAATTCACTCGTCAACATTCCAAGAACACGTGACGTCTGATACAACGCTGGGTACAAACAGGGGGCATTCTTCTCACCTCCATCCCCCTCCCCCACAAAAAAAGTCTTGTCTTAGTCATAAACTGGTACGGAGGAAGGTCTATGTTGTTTTTGTTTTGTGCGAACTCGGCTTGAAAAGTGAATACTAAAAATACATGATATATATTTGTTGTCAATAACAAGCTCGCATAAATCGATAATATTGACTTTCAACCGTAGTCTTGCAGTTTAAAACTAATATTTAGCCACAGCGCTAAGCATCACGTCATTGCTGTTATTTCTGAAACCACACTGCATATCGCTTCTAGTGTTAAAAGTACTTTGACCGAGATTTTGAAACGTAAACATATTTTAGCGAGCAAAACATTGTTCATGTGAAAACAGTTCCGTCCGTTGTTTTCCAAATTTATAACGAACTAAATGGAGTGCATAGTTATGAAATAAAAGTGTAATTTTGCAGGAGTGGCGTGTCCAGAGATCATTCATTAATAAACACGCTGTTTGCATGGTTAAATATTAGCTCATTTCAAATGAGTAAAATAATTTCTATATTAGTTCCATACCCTATATTTTTCAGTGCACGTGTTGCTTTTTTAGTACCCGCAGATACAATATTTAGACATCATAGCCAAACCAGATTGTTTTTGATGGCACGATATTGTCCTCAATAAGGCGGCTGATTAATGCGGAAGATGAGCTGGGCCTTCTCCCATAGGGCTGACTACCTACCATGTACGCGGAAGTTCCGCACGGAAGGGGTACCTTTTTTAAACACCAGGTATATGAAAGGGTAGGGGTTTCACACTTTGAAGAATTTGAAAGGGTGGCTTAGGTTAACCCTTAGTAAATGTTCTTATTACATAACAGACTCTGTAACGTCTTTTAATTCACTCGTCAACATTGCAAAAACACGTGATAGTCTGAAACATGGCTGGGCACAAACAGGGGGCATTCTTCTCTTCCCCCTACCCTACGAAGGAAGGTCTATGTTGTTTTTGTTTGTTTTTGAAAACTGAATACTAAAAATACATGATATATTTGTGGTCAATGACAAGCTCGCATAAATCAATAATCTTGACTTTCAACCGTAGTCTTACCGTTTAAAACTAACACTGATCGTGTTACATAATGAAAGAATCGTATTATATGATGACTGGGTGACAGGTTATAACAATACAGCGTCTGTATTGAACAAGGACATTGTGAAAAAAGTGATGTCGGGTTTACCACGGCAACAAGTCAAACATTGCAAAACAGTCTTTTCAGTAAGCTTCAGAATTGTATTGGCTCTTATATCATATTCTCCCTAATTTTTACATGTTCAACTCTAGACGATTAATAATTTAATTTTTAGAAGGGAAAGGCGGTTAGCTGTTACGGTTAGAGCATGCCCGGAACGGTTGTCAAAGCTGTTTGCAGTCCGGTTCAGGTGGACATGAAATGTACCACCTCTGTTATGATAGCCATCCCAATGTGTCCTTACTGATCTTGAAAAACACGTATGATTTTGTCTTGATAATACCTAGTAGTAGGAGTAACATGAAACTAACAAACAACCACGTCAAATTAATTATGAAGTTCTTATAAGTGAAAGATCATTTCATTTGCTGATTGAGGGCAAACCGGTTCCCTCTAGATCTTGTAATTAAAATAGATTATTGTTCTTGTAACAGTTGTTTTCATTACAAGCAAGGGCCGGGATTGACGCGCGAACGCAACGGAATAGTTGAGTTAAAACGAAAAACATTTCTTTAGAGAGTGTAGCTGACAAATGATATTCCTGGCCGATTACATTTTAACGCACAACATGGCTACAGCTCACTACGGTAATAGTAGTCAGCTTACGCAACTAACCAAATGGAATATCCCTAGTCTAGTCGATAAAACCAATCTACCGTTTACAATACAGAAATGGACTACATAAATCTTACATTTTGGCATTTTTGACAATATAAAAAAATCGTGAAATTTAACTGTCGGAAATAAAATGGGCGAGAATTTTATCGCGAAATTTAATATTTTATTACACCCATTTTGAAATTACTTTTTTCTCGCAAACTGACTGAGTCTTAGTAGTATGATTTACACTATTTACGAATTTTAGTTTTTTTTGTTCTAAATCGCAACATTTCTGTTCAAATTCGCATCATGTTGCTCTTATATCGCATTATTTTTGTTTTGCCTAGGAAATATATATACGGGTGTTTCCATGTCCGCTTTTTTAACAAACCGGCTGCTGAATAAATAAAATATTGGATTTGGCAACTTAGTTGATTACGTATATTGGCTGTTAATGGAGGATTGAAAAGCTGACGTTTGGAGCGCTTCGTCAGAGCCAATCGCTTTTTCATTATTCCTCGCTCTCATCCAGTCATGTCGCCCCATGGCAAGGAATCCAAGATAGAAAAGATAGTCTTTGGATTCCAGATTCCACTCCATGGATTCCGGATTCCAGGTACTTGATTCCAGTCTTTTTCATTGAAACTTATAGATTCTGGATTTCAATTGTTAGTGGGATTTCGGATTACTTGAGCTGTATTCCAGTTTCCAAAGGTCAGGATTCCTGATTTTTTCGGGTTCCGGAATCCTTATTCCTTTACATGCGGCGAAGTCAGAAAATGGGGCAACTGAAAACCACAGGGAGGCCTAAAGTGATTGTGTGTGTTATACTAATAATAATACTAATAACAAAAGTAGGTTGAGTTTGATCGTCCGGGTGGACGTAGTCCTGAATAGGACTGTTGTTGTTGACAGTGACTGACGTTTCGACAACCTGTGCGGTAGTCATCTTCGGTAGTCATCTTCAAAACGATGAACGTTTCATAGACTAAATAAAGTGTGCTTTAAGTGCTTTCTTAAATAGAATTCTCAAAGTTAAGGATCGATCCAATTTCGAGTTCATTTAAAAACCCTTTTCCCAAATTCGAGAAGGACTTCAGGCAATTTTACTAAAAACCATTGTTTCTTGCAGTCTTTGAATGATCCAGTCTTTCAAAATACGACTTAAAGCGGAAGCAAACATTATCTTGAAGACAGCCAAAGACCAGTTGATTGCTTTTGCACTTAATTGCTTTTTCTACTGAAGTTTCAGACTACTGTTGCCAATGGTTCTTAGACTTCGTTGTTCAATGTTCTTTATCATAAATACTAACACTTTCCGGTTTAAGAACTTCATTTATTCGAACTTGCCCAGGTCAAGAAACAATTAACTACAATGTGGAATTAAACCATTATCTTCATTTTGTGTTGGTAAGGGTTCCTGCACCTTGTCCAAAGCCGTAACCTGTTGGTTCAAAGTTCTTGCCAAGTCTCAGAATTTCAGTTCTTGGAATAAAGTAAGGGAGTTTTTCGAGACTGCAAAACAGTCGTTTTTTTTCGCAAAATCAGTAAAGAAATCGGTAAAGCGTGGCGTTAGAGTCTTACGCGCGCAAAGCGCGCGAGCCTCACGCGTCTCTCCCCAGTCTCGCTCTCTGTTTTCAGCCTCGTTCCAGACCTTTTGTTTGAGTGCTCGCGCGTACTTGAATACGCAAAAATACGGACTGTTTTTGCAGTCTAGAGTTTTTCAGTCTGTTTTATTTTCCCTCTATTTATGGACGCATCGTGGTTGTTTCTTCCACCAACCGGCCGGTGTTCATTAACGTTGTGCACTTTTTTGCTCATTACAAGTTCTCTTTATTCATCATTTTTACGTAGAGTATGAGGCACCTTGTTTGCCCCCCCCCCCCCCCCCCCCCCCCCCAAAAAAGGCATAACCATTGTCCTCGATTTCTCTTGGGACGACTTTAATATTTGGGTGATTTTACACCAAGCTTTCCATGCAGTGAAACGTCATTTCACGTGGCCTGGAATGGGAAAACAAGCAAACCTGGGGTCAATTTTATAAAACTTTTTATAAGTGTAGCAATTGTTTTTAGACTATAAAACAATGGCTAGACTTGTAAATTACATTCAGTACTATTGAGAACGTCACAAGCGGAAATGAAGCAAGTCATTAATGTTTGAGTCTATGGTCGAAATACTATGGCGCAGCCGTTCAAGGCTCTTCAAATCAAACCTCTTCAGTAATATTTTTGCATAGTATGATCCGTTACTAACCATGGGAGTATTTAGTTATTTATGTTGTGTTAACTTTTGAGTCTGGTATGACCATTCAAATAAGACCTCTTCAGCAATAGTTATACGTGGTACTATTTATTATGTAGTTCTAACTGTTGAGTCTGTGGATAAAATCCTATGATGTGACCATTCACATGAAACCTCGTGGGCAGCTTTCACATGGTACCATCTGTTTTTTAGCACTTTACAAAATAAAATTTGTTCGCTATCTTGACTCTATTTTCAAATTGAAAGGCGCTATTGGGAGTAAATAACAGCCTGGCTACCCACTGACAACCTTTGCTTTAATATTGTTTTCATATATGGAGAATAACTTTATCACTTGTTATTTTCCCTTTTAAGTTCCATTACAAATTATTGAAATACGTACATAAATTTACATCGCACAAAAAACTCTAACTTGCATTAAAATGAACGCTGACAACAACGAGATAAGGTTAATTTAGGAAAAAAAAAAGAGCAAGAGCAGCAATTATTGATGTAGTAAATAAAGCAATACAAGGGAACGAGTAACGGATGAACAGAACTCTTTAGTTCGTGAGTTTGTTTCCAATGAAGGTCACGTGAAATAATATTCAAGAGCAATGTTTCTCTCAAATTCTGGGACCTTCATTGAGCGAAAAACAAAACATACGAGCTAATATAAGGAGATCTATTACGTTCATTTACGGGTCGCTTACCTTAGCTATCTTTTGCCGAAATAAAAGGCAAGTTTATTCCTCTTGAATGTTCGAACGGCAATATTGCTGTCATTCTTAAAACTAACAAAGCCATTGACGCCAACAGATGTTCGCTTCAATTCGCCTTCAATAATCATATCCTTAGCACGAATCGAAAAATATAACTAGAATGATTACGTGAATAAACGCCAGTTGCTTAGGATTACGGAATTAAATTGGAAGGCCAGATTTAATTCTTAAAAAGTGTGGGTTTATGCCTGATTGCGTGATATTGTGATCGCGTGAATTGACGCAGTTTGTGGGCAGAGTTGAATAAGACCATCTTTTGCATTTTAAAAAAGGTTAATTACGTTAAAAGGCTGTTGTTGTAAGTCATTCCCATAGTTCTAACTCGGCTAGAGCCTGAAAATACATCTTTCCATTTGGGCAACACGGGCTACCTTTAGAATCCTTTTTATTCGACCATGATAACTCATTGTCAATAAGGCTCTTTAAACAGGCGGGCAAAACAGCAGTAAATCCTGCCCAAGAAACTTCTAAAAGATAAAACACCGAGTTCAAAAGATCGATCTCAACGAACGATCTTCCGCCAGGAAACAAGTGTTCTCCGGCCACGAATCGCACGCCTCGAACGGGTAGCACAAAGGTTATAACAAGAAAGGTCGCTAAAGTTACGACGTTTATGTTTTTCAGACCGCATTTCGATTGGTAATCGCCGCCGCTGTTGCTCAACAATCGTGTTTCTTCTAAATGTTTTGCTACTGCACGAAGAACAGCAGTTAGTAGAATTATTGCTGGAACCACAAATTGTAACATGATTACCATATAACCATAAAGCCACACGTCGAAATTAGCCTCCCAGCTAACCCCTGGAGAAGGACAGTAACATCCGTTGCATTTTAACACTGGCATTTTATGGTACAAATTTCTTAGAGCTGGAGATAACAATAGCCCAGATGACAGCACAATTCCCGCAAATGTCAGCGCGATTTTGAACGCCGGGAATGTCCACCGTCGTTCTGTTTTTAGGTAACGCACGACAACAAATGCCGTGAGGTTAAACACTGATAACGATGTAAAACACGCCGTGATATTTGGTAGTATATCGCAAATTGTGTGGTCCTCAACTCGTGTAAGATCAGTTACAGGGTTAAGCTCATCTCGAAGCAGCAAGACCAGATGAACAAACAGATTTCCAATGTTAACAATCGTTTGAAAGACGATGAAGTACTTTAAGTTATTAAGGGACCGCCATCTTGAACATTGATAACAATAGAGCATAACATAGAGGTTGAAGAACGCCCCACAACAAAGTATTAACGGTGACACGATCATATTTCGCTAGCTTAGATTCTCCTCGTGAAGCTTGTAATATTTTTACTCTTTGGGCTCCTTGGAGCCTCGACCATTGAAGATAAATGTCATGTGATGCCTGCAAGCATGCAACGTTCATTACATGTCCAAATTATATGCGCGGTCGCTTAATCGTGTCCAAAATTAACATATGGAACGTCACGTATCATGTTAACGGAAACGCGGCACTAGAGAATTTTCCATTTTTTCCGGGTGTGACGAAAGCTATTAAGGTCCTTGAAAACTCGGTATGGAGGGGAATACTGGACAAAATGTTATCGGATCGTATCGTAAGGTGCATTATATCGACTTTGCCTGGTATGCTGTTATGTCGTATGCTGTTATGTCGTACTTGGGATATTGTATTGTAACCGGAGCACTGTTATATCGTACTCGGTAACCTTATAACGTAACCAGAATAGTATTGTATCGTACTCCAATGCTGATCTATCGTACCCGGTAGCCATAGATCGTAATTTGCATGCTGTTGTTTCGTACTCGGAAACCTGATATCGTAACCTGAATGTTGTTGTATCGTACCCAGTAAACTTCTATCGTAACCTGAATATTGTTGTATCGTACCCGGTAACCATAGATGGTATCCAGGAAATTGTTATGTCGTACAACGCAACTGTATGTTCCAGCCAGATCATCCCATTCGAGGGTCAAACGTTACTTTTAAGAAAGAAACAAACATCTATAAAAAACAAAGCACTCGTGAAAATAATTAACAATGTTAACAGTCTGTTCATTTCGCGTGTCGTTATCGATAATTGTAAAACAAGCTTCTCGACAAATTGTTGTTAACAGGGTTAAAATAGTCCTCATTTCCGGGCTAAAGAAGGTCCAAACAATATCATGTGGGCACGAACACACTGCGGACAGTCTCATGCTAGCCTGTGAAAAGTTTCTCCTCGCTCCTCGCCGCTGGGGAAGCGAAGAGCGAGGAGAAGGCGGCTGTTTTCACGGGCTACACATATGCGGGGTCTACTTTTAATTGCGAAGTGAAGGGGGATACGAGAGGGTCTTCCTTAAAAGGTTAGGTCGGCCCAAGGTTCGGCCAACGTCACAAAGTATACAACTTAAAAGGTTCCTCCAAACTTGAATTCTGGTTACAGAGGTTCTCTATATTTTTTCCCTTGAAAAGAACTTCATGCGTTGTTGTGACCCAGTTGTAACTTTACCAAGCAACCACACCAAAGCGACAAGATTGTAAAGTAGGAACAATAACATGGTATTTTAGGGCCGAAATCAAACATCAACCGACCGCCAAAAAGCGTCGTTTCCTTCTCCAACCTTCGTCTGTTTTGTCCAAGATTGAAGATCCATTATTTTGCCTTTTTTCTTTAAATAAATCGTTTTTTTTCATCATGTGATTGGTGATAAAGTAAGAAAAACCCCATATTTGACATATTAACTTTAGCCTAGTTTTCTCCCATGTTAAATGATAAAAATTGCTAGCGATGACAAATATTCGTAGTGTATTTATTTCGAGTAAAAAACAAATTGTTAAGAGAATTTTACTTGGTGTTTGGAATTTATTTCGGATATTAAAATTGAAATGAGATATATCTTGTGTGTGTCATTGGGAAATAATTTGACGCTTTTCTCATGCAATGGTTAACTCTCACAGAATAATGCTGATGAAGCCCTATCCTCTCCTGACTTGAGAAAATAGTTGGTTTCCAGTTCAATTCCCTTGTCATTTTCTTTAAAGAAACTGGTTTGTTTTGAGAGTTATGTCAGTTAAATAGCCACTTCCGCGATTGCCGCAAAAGTACAATTTAACGACCAAGTTGGTTAAAGTAACTCTGATCAGTAGCTTTGATTTTTCTCGTTCTTTAATTTCATGATCTTTATGTTTTAACCTGGTTACTTCAACTTATGATTACATAGATACCTTCTCCTGACATGAATTCGGTGTAAAGCGGATGTTCCTTTTTGGTGCATCTCCGCTGTCACATTTCTTTATTGAAACTATTTTTAATGAGAGTTTTTGATACATGACAAAGCCTGGATTGATTTGCACACTTTGTTCAGCTTAACATTTTTTTACCTCAATTTGGTCCTTCGTCCATGTTTTTCAGGCAATGACTACCTTACCCATATTTAACCATATTTGGTGGGTTTTCTTGACTTTTTTTTACCCGATTTCATGGCAGTGGATAACTTTAATTAGACTTAGTGATTTTATAGGTGTTTTTGTAGGTAAAGAACTTGCACTGTGAACTGCATTTTTAATTTGTCCTCTGAGTTTTTCGATGACGTCCGTAGTTAATTTATGGAAAAGTTTTAGCCAACCATTATCGACAAAGAAACACCCTCTGTAAATTATAAAAAAATTGTATACAAGCAGTTACTTTGTAATTTTTATAATGGTCACCTCGTTTTATATTGACTGGTCAACCCAAGCTTCATAGTGAAAATTCGGGTTAAAACTCGAAGGTTCAATGCAAAGGAGTCTTCTTTAGCCAATCACAGAAGACCTAAGTAAGCATTATTTTGAGTTTGGAAGATGCTGTTGCTAGTCGAGTAAAATCAAGGTGTGACAATGATATTCAGAGAGTGCTTTCCTGATACTGCAATGTGAAGTTGTATGAGCCTAGTTGGAGATTAAAGCAAGCCCGCCTTTACTATTTAGCGCTCCCAACTAAAGCCGCCATGCTACGCAGGCTAACGAAGAACCGGCTAGTTCCCCATAAAAAGTCCTTCCAATACCCAGAAGGAAACAGTCGCATCACAACCCTCTTCAAACTGTACTACTGCTTTTATCGACTTTTTAACAGTACAAAACGGCTTGAATCACTATTTATCATTACCGGTTAATTAATTACTTTTCTTACCCAAATAATCACCACAGTTACGCACTTTTCCGGGGTGTTATTTAATTATCGTTACGTTCAGTTGTGAAAGGGACCTTTAGGTAATGTAATACTGATTTAGGCAAAGCCATATTGGCTCCTACCAAGTGGTAAAGGAACGGTGTCATTACAATAACACTAATATAAATAGTTGTAATAATATAATGTGCAATATATATTCACTCTGCATTCATTGGCTGAGAGTGATTTTGGCGCGTTTAGATTGATTTCAGTAACACGCTGTGATTCACGTGCTCTGTGAACCATGTACTCTGTCTCCGAGCTGGTGGGGATACTGCGGAGTAGAGGATAGCTATGGACAGGAGCACAGGAGTCACCATTTCTTTACAACTCCGACTTTTCTTGTGGTTTCTTTGGAAAACCATTGTTACGAATAATCTCTTTATATACCTCTGCAGACCGCTTGGGAGTGCGGGGTCGATTAGGATCGTCAAAATCTACGTGGTGAATGCCAAATCGGATGTGAAATCCTTCCATCCATTCAAAATTATCGAGAAAAGACCAGTAGAAATATCCCTTCAGTCGCACCCCATCCAAGCGGATTGCCTTTAATGCTTCGTTGGTGTAAGAAGTCAAGAAATCCACGCGTAGCGTGTCATTCAAGGCGGCTTCACCAGTCAGTTGGTCTTCTCCATCGATGCAAAAACCATTTTCCGTGACAATGATCTCAGGGTCATTATAATGATCCTTCACCCATTTTAGCAGCTTGCGTAGGGCCCAAGGAGTGCTGTACATCCATACAGTGGCACCTACAGAGGAAAACTTTGTCCTTATATAGAGCCAAGTGACCACGATAAAACCAAATATATTTTTCACGCAAGCTGTGAAATAATGTATGCATCGAAGCTTCCCCACGTCTCCTCCTTACACACACACAAAAAACACTAATACATATTTTCCCACGACCTTTCCCACTCCCTGAGTGAGCTTGTTATACTGAGGTTCTATTGTAAGCCATGATCCTTTGTATAAACGACTTGAAAAAGTTAATTAGAGGGTGCATGAACTATCACTTTCGAATCACAATAGTTAACTGAGACGCAGAGCCTACAGTAAAGTACCAGGCCAAGTTTCGACAAGAGGAACCGATGCTTCCTTGTTACATTTTAGGTTACAGTTTCGAAACTTAAAGTTTCGAACCTGAAAACAATTTGCCAGTATCTTCAGTTAACTACATGTACCTATGTAAGCTTAATTGAAATAATGGGAAAAAGAAGCTCTCGTTGCAGTTATAAGCAGTTTTACAATAAAAAGGAGACGAAAGGGTATTTTGAATTACGTTATTTGTCGTTGAAATTGCTTTTTTACACAAAATAATGCTAGGCCATTTATCGAATTATTCAAGCCTCGTTTTCAGGGCGAGTCCTGGTACTTATCCGTTCATATGAGAATCAGTTTCCTTACCCACACAAATTATACTTATTTTCTTTCAAAGTTGGTGCCACATGCCTCGCTTAACTGACATAACTGCTATCATTTGTTCAGGCTGCAACCTGAACCAAGCCATTTCTTCGTGTAATTGCGCTGCACACGTACCATTCCACTAACTGACCTATAAAGCCGACTAGGGGATAGTTATTGTGTGCTTGCATTCACACTTCTCGCAGACAGCAGTCAGATGAATATGACTGGAAAATCAGGTTCTTTTGGAGAACGCGTGACAGACTTCAGTGAGTGGGGTTTAAACCATTATCGACTGAAGAGATCTTGAGACACGTATCTGCATCCCCTCAGATTTCGCAGGGGTGAATGACATCAACAACTTACCAAAGGAGAGAGGGTCTGGGACGATAGATATCGTTTGAACGCACTCCCTAAGACTGGAAACGGGAAGCAGGCAAGAAGAGCCCATCTTGCCCCCCTCAGGTAGCCAATCACACCACATGATTGACTCATCTTGCCCGCTCGCGGATCCAGTCATATAATAATACCAGTTACATATTGAAAGGGACTTAATCATTTGTACGTGTTTGGAGTGCGTAGCTTATTAACAGTCTGAATGGAGAGAAATGAAATGGATCAATGAGAAATGAAATGTACCTCTTTGCCAAGATGGATCAGAAGTGGTTTTCATTCTCTGATCAGTCATGTAGTTCCAGTCCACATCAGGTGGGTATTCCTGGTTTTCAATAAGGAAAGCACTATAGGCGTTCAGAGCGAAGAAATCTGCTGTCCCTTTGATAAGCAGCTTCTCTGCCTCGGTAAACTCGGGAAGTCTGACATAACAAACATTTGAACGGGCGATTAAAACCGAAGCAGGTGACGTGGGGAAGAGTAAAAGCTTATGTTACAGACCATGTGGTTTATTAGCTGCTTCAAATCTAAAGTGTTCAAACCTCGTCCATGGCAGCGAAGCTGGGAGGCATACTGGGGTGCCCGAGAACCGCTCCAACCCTTTACTTTGTGAAAGGTATGCCTTCTTTTTTTCGCAAAAACGCCAGAAAATTGATCAACTAAAGTCCAAGCTAAAATTATAAAATTCACTCACTTTGAAGCACGATACATCTCTCGGTAAACCAAGGTATGAGAGCACTTGGTTTAAAATTTCCTTGTATATCAACGTACGTGTTTTCGTCAGAAGCTCTTGTATAAGCTAAAATATGGTTTATACCGATAACGCGTTCGGTCCCTCTCGCCGCTTGACTTATCTATATATACATTTTGTAGCCTCCTTCCTCCTTCCATATTCGCTGATTTCGGGAAAGAAAAGCCACTTTTACGAACTGACACAGCAGGAATGTCGCCGGGGGGGGAAGAGGGTTTACTCCCCTAGAAAAATGATGGGGATGCTCGTCGTACCTTTTAAGGGTTTTAATTTGTGGACTGTTACCGCTTAGGGTGCTAAAACCTAAAATGACTGCTGCCAGAGTTGTCTCGGTAAGATTTATGACAAAACTTTCAAAAAGTCACTGAGAGTAAAGTCTTCGAAAGTTATCTGTACTACTATTAAAATTTGCAGTGTCAGTTATAATTTGTTGTTGTTGAATTGGTACCTCTTAGGGGTGAAAATGAATTTGGGACACGCCCATAAAACAAGATTCTAGTACCTTTAGGGGTGCGCTCGAAATTTTCCGACCAGCACCACCGTCACTTTTACAGGGGAGTACCCCCCGAGGAATATTGACATGACAATCTGGTAACCACTGCACCCCCACTGGAAAAATTCTAGCCACGCCCAGGATATCTTACCTGTTTGGAATTCCCTTAGCTTCACTGTTCTTCTTGACCGTCGTCTTCATGATGTCAGGCCAGTCTCCATTTACGTAGACAGGATTAGCAAACCATCCGAGCCACCACTCAAGACTCCGTTCAGCAGCGTCTATGTCAGCTTGCGTGTTCGTCTTGGGTTCCCCCCACTGCACGTTTAGAATTATTGACACTTTCCCATGCTGCGTGGGACGGAATTCATTATCGTAGGTGTGCCATGCTTTGGCATGAGCAAGAAGCATGACATAAGAAACTAGCAAGAAAATAGATGAATAAATAAACCATATTAAATCATTTTACAGCGTTTATCACCCAATTATCAGGGCTAGGCTAGGGCGTCTAGCGCTAGGGCTAGGGGATTTTCTCTGATAAATGACTGGCCCTCGAACACGCGAAACGCCACGACCTCGTCCGTAGGGCTTAAGCGCAAAGCCCTGTGGGCGAGCCTTTTCAATCGCAGTGAAGGTTTAAATTCACTTTACAAAATCAGTTGATAAAACCAAATTTTTGTTTTCTCGCAAGTAAACTCTGCATTTGGGAGATATCATGTTAAGTCACGCGCGAGTGGCACGCGAAAGGCGACGCGCGCACTCTCTCGTGGCTCCCTCGCTTCTGTGTCGAAGCGTGCGTGACCCACCGGCATTTTCGTGCTGAGCACGAATACATCTCTTCCTTTGGCTCTTCCTGTATTTACATTTTTTTAAAATCTGTTTTTCTCGTCGGTCATGGATTTGAAATAATTTAGAACTGTTTACATGTGAAAAAAAAATATAACCAATCGGTTGTAGTTACCTTTGTAAACGGTTGAGCGAAGTTCTTTCTTTCCTGGGGGAGTCATTCCGAAGCCATGCGCTAACAGTGCCGCCTCCCAAGGCTCGTTTATTGTTATCCACCACTTGACTCGGTCCCCGAATGTTTCAAAACAAAATCTAGCGTAATCATTGAAAATATCGGCCAAATCTGGGCTCAACCAGCCATCATACTTGTCTTGTAACACTTGAGGTAGATCAAAGTGATACAAGGTCACCATGGGGGTGATGTTGTTCTCTAACAGCGAGTCGATCAATTTGTTATAGTATTCAACTCCGGCATGGTTCACTTGATCAACAGTTCCTTTGGGCAACACTCTGGGCCACGATATCGAGAACCTGTAATAGCCTACACCGAGATTTTTCAACAGCTTTACGTCTTCGTCGGTTTTGTGGTACGAATTGCAAGCTATGTCTCCTGTTTGGTTCTTAAAAGTATTCCCACCGGCTTGCGTGAATTTATCCCAAATACTAGGACCTTTGCCATCTGCATTCCACCCGCCTTCGATTTGGTAGGCCGAAGTCGACGTTCCCCACATGAAATCTTCGGGAAATTCACCATAGAAGAACTCGTTTGGATCCTCCGCCATAGCTGCCACGCTTATAATTAATGATAGGAAGAGGAAAGAAACTATTAACGATAATTCGGCCATATCGCGTGACTTTGACGTAAATACTGCAGGCTCCGAACGATGAATATCAAATGAGTGAATCAATCAGCAACAACAAAAGTTGGTTTTATTTCTTTGTTTTTCGGCTGGGGCTGATGGCAAATAAACCCCCGGGGGTTGTCTATCTCGCAGGTCGGCATGGTTAATCGTGTGGACAAACTCTTCTTTTCATGTCTTTTCGTTTTCGCCGCCTGCTGGAATCAAGAAAAGGTCACGGAGGATATAGTACGAAAGAACTAACAACTCATAACAAAGCAAGGAGCCCATGATAAATCAATATCCTCAATTGTGAAAAAAATGAGGCCAGCTGAGTATCGTTTGATTCATGGGCCTCCTCCGCTACGGAACAACTCAAGCAGGGGTGGCGAATGGTACTTCGAAAAACGTGGGTCTCGGCAGGATCTCGAAATTTCGGAAACGTTTTTGACAAGTCTCGAAATCTCGTTTTTTCATGGTTTGTTTTTACTTTTTTCTAGTCTCGAGACTTTTCACCAAAGATTATCGGGCTCGGATTTCTAACTAGGATCTCGGCGTCTCGGTGAGTCTCAGATTTTACCATTTGCCACTTCTTCAAGCTGAGATCCTGAGAACTTTTAATATCATTCAACACCAGTCTCCTTGCGTCATAACACAAAGAACGGCTGTGTTTAGCATACTGTCAATGTTCTCAAAGAAACTATTCCTTATAACCTTTCTAAAATTCACATCCATTCTTAAATTCGTTGTTTTGATGGCAAGGTTGTTAACATGGGGAAAGAAACAAATTTCCTGAGCGTGACGCGAGAAATAGGCCGCCAGTTACAGTTTCGTGACAAATTCTCGGCACGAAAGAAAAAACACGCGCGATGAATTATATGTTGTGAAAAATTACGAAGATAAAGACAAAGCGAAATTCTTTCTCCAGAGCGGATTTCCGCAAATATTTGGTCTTCTATATTGGCCCTTAAACTTGGTAAACCACATAATTCGCTTCTATTTTAATTCTGTCTATGGTTTTGAGGCAATAGTTCGGTTTTTCATCTCCACATTTTTTTGCGTGTTTGAGCCACCGCGCCGGGGAGGGGTACTCCCCTATGAAACTGACAGGGGTGCTCGTCGTACCTAGTATTTTCTGGGCGCGATCCATTCAACCAAAATTCCAACCGGTCCGACCGGGAAAAGAGGACCACCTCAAAAGGTGGACCCGTTTTTTCGAAACTTTTCCGGCTGGACCGAACCGATCCATTGAGTTTTGGACCGAAATTTTCCGGAAAGTTTGGTTGTGCCCCCGACAGTTTACGATTGACGTCAGTGGTGATTCAACAGCAACCATCCAAATTTGGTAGCTGATTAGCTGGGATTAAAGCGAATCAGACACGGAGAAATGTTTTCAATGAATAATAATATTAATTATTAATAAATATTTTCGTTTTCCCGCCAAAGCACAAAATCTTCCCCATTCCTTTGTTATTTTCTGTCCTTTGTTCTCCGCTGGCTTAGAGGACCGAATGTTGTGGGTCAAGATCTTCAAATTTTCATTTTTAGTGGAACTGTTTGTAGCATTCACCGAAGTAGATGCCAAAATGTCGGTAATAATTCCGTAATTTTTGGGTGGATTGCATTTCGTTCGGTGTCCTAGCGTCTTTTAAAACAGTTGAACAATCCGAAGAAATGAATTAATCATTGCGTGATATTTAGAACAAACTTTTAACAGGCACCCAACAGCAGGCCTTCTGACCTATTTTTTTCCTTAAATCTTTAGTTTCCTTTAGCGGAAGGGGACGATAGCTTCGTTCGAGGAACTTTTCCTGATGATTTTATTTGGGGCGCAGCAACAGCAGCGTATCAGATCGAAGGCGCCTGGGACGAAGATGGGAAAGGACCAAGTATATGGGACACTTTTTGCCACGTCGGAAGGAAAATTCACAACAATGACACTGGAGATGTCGCATGCGATAGTTACCACAAAATCGACGAGGATATAGCCCTTCTGAAAAACCTCGGAGTAGGTTATTACCGATTTTCCATCTCCTGGTCCAGGGTTTTACCCCTGGGAACAACAGATAAAGTTAATCCCTTGGGAGTCGAATATTACAACAACCTAATTAATGCAATGTTAAGCAATGGCATCAAGCCGGCTGTTACACTCTATCACTTTGACCTGCCTCAGGCTTTGCAAGACAAGGGTGGTTGGCGTAATCCCAACATACCTGATATTTTCAATGCTTATGCAAGATTTTGTTTTAAAGAGTTTGGAGATAGAGTTGGAATATGGATCACAATTAATGAGCCACACGAGGAAGCACTAGATGCATATGGGCTTGGTGCTTTTGCTCCAGGTATAAAGGAGATGGATGCAGGACCATACCAGGGTGAGCTTTATAGAGGCAGTCACTGGCAGGATAACTTTCTACAAGTGACATGCCCCCACCCCCATAAGGGAACTCCCATATTAGACAAGACAGATATGTGCCACTGAACAGGGTTTATGGTTTTCAGGGTCTTAACTCTTAAACAGGGTGTGCAATTAACACTATTTGGCGTCTTTAACAGGGTGTGATTTTGGCCGAGAAGCCTTTAAAAGAATTTTAGGGCTGCAAATGAGCGGTCTGCATTAATTTTGTGTGGCACCAATGATTTTTTCCAAAAATTTAGTCCTATGATGTTAGTCTGAAAATTTACCTCATTGCTGTATGCAAAATGGAATGAATAATCCACAGGGTAGTGAGCAATTTTTGTCTTAAACAGGGTCAGGTTTTGAAGGCTTTGGCGGCCAGCTCTACCTAAACTTCTTTTGAGTGCAGCCTCTGGGGATGGCCCCTTAAAATTATGATGTCACCAAAATTTTGACAAATACCCAATGCAGATTATTCTGAACGAAAAGTGCTGACATTCTTCTACTGCAAGTTGAAAATATTTGAGGTACAAAACAGGGACATGTGTATACTTCACCGCTTGCCCCTTTAACAGAACTGTTACACCAGAAAAAGTTTAAGCAATTTAAATATACAACTTTTTATGGATATTGTAATAACATTTTAAGGTGAAATGTAACAAGCTTTCAAAACAAGCTGATTACAACTGATACTTTATTTCACCCAGAGAAAAAATTCGGATTTCTTCCCTCATGTAACCAGAGAAACATGGAGACATACAGATGGGCCAAATTATGACCCAAGGAATATAGGGTTATGAAATGTGGAACTTGTATAAACAGGAAAAAAGTTTCTGTTCACAAGCAGATGGGATTTAAGTTGGGGTGTGTATTACTGGGTGTTTTAGGGTAATTTCTCAATTCCTTGCTTTGTTAGTGGTAAAATATTAATGAAAACCCCTGCTACTGTCTTTGATTTGATACAGCTGGCCACAATATGCTACTTGCTCATGCAAAAGCCTGGCATACCTATGATAAAGAATTCCGAAGTGCCCAACAGGGCAAAGTAAGCCTTGTCGTCAATGCGCAGTGGTATGAACCAAAGACAAACAAGGAAGAAGACATTAAAGCTGCGGATCATGGTATGCAGTGGTTTCTGGGCTGGATGGCACATCCTGTGTTTATTGGAGATTATCCTGAGGTGATGAAAACACGGATCTTTGAGAAGAGCAAGGCAAAAGGGATTCCTTCTAGGTTAGTTCATGGAGCAAAACACCCCCCAAGGTGCTTTGGATTCAAAAAACCCAAATTTTATGATCAAGAAACAGCTTTTATTTACTTTGACCCCCAGATGGTACAAAACAGCATTTAACTGACAAGTTAAGAATAATTACCGGTATGGTTTGTTTAAACTGTTAAAACTCCCAGCTGTACTTGTAGCTGTGATCCCAAGGAGGGGGGAGGGGGGGAGAGGCTCCGCCCCAAGTTCAAACCCCTTACTCTTTTACATGTCATTTTAGACAGAAAAGGTATCCCTTTGATATACCTTCCATTGACCAAATGGTCCCCCTTTAATTTCACATACCTTAACTTAATAAGAAATAAGTTGAAATACCTGAAGCCTGAAAAGGGTTCCAGGGCGATTATAGCGAGTGCAAGCAGCTGCAATGTCTCTGCCAAGCCAAGTGAAGCTGTGGAAATGGTACTCATCTATAGCCTGATAAATTAACTTGAAATTTTTTGAAATATTAATCTGAAAAATAGACTTTCATTGTTGGCAATGTTTGTTTTATTAACCTCCTTAGGCTTCCAGCATTCACAGAAGAACAAAAGAGGTCATTAAAGGGAACCTCTGACTTTTTGGCCCTCAATTTCTACTCTGTTTCATATGCTGAGCATCATGACCTATCTAAGGATGAAAATGTTACCTGGGGCTACTTTACAGATCAGGAAATGAAGACTTCTAGAGATCCCTCCTGGCTCAAAGGTCAGTGCACCTTTTCATTACCTACCTGCCACACCTTTCTACCCCCTCTTGAAAATAAAAGGTAGTTGAAATATCAAAGCACGAAGACCTTCCCTTTTCTGTTTGTGGTCAAGACACTGCAGTGGCTTTAATTCTGTACCCTTCCGTTCCAAAGGTTATTAAAGCCACTTTTAATATGAGCATGAGATCATGCATTTTGGAGAATACTACTTTGGAATTTTAGCCAGCCATAACCTTGGAATTATCAATCTTTCCTGTTGCTGGTCAGAACATAGAGAGATGTAATGGTGTGAAAAGTGATATTTGAGGCATATGAATTTACTGTGAAAGGTCATACTAATATTGCATTCAATCATGTTCTAGAAGTCAAATATTAAGGTCCCTGGCAATCTGTCTCTCTCTAAGAGCATATATTAAATATATATTTTCTTAGGAGACCAGATAAGAGTATTTAAGTTAGTAACTCAGGAGTTAGGTCCTGTGGAGTGAAGAAAGTTTACAGGGTAGAAATACAGGATGGTATCACATGGCTGTGCTCTCAGAAAAATTGAAGAGAGCGCAGACCTCTGAATTTGTGAAATCTGGGATGCCCAGCATATGATTTACATAAAGAAAATACGATTTTCTAGTCACCCAGGAGCTTAAGTTAGGCGCCAGGGGCCACTCGGCTCTGCTAGAGCACAGTGGCCTGCCTTGTATCATGAGAGTGGAAACATCACTGACTTCAATAAAGTGAAAAACTATCCCAAGTTGACAAGATTTCTTTTAAACTCTCCCTTGCAAATCATTAATTTGTTCGAGTGCATAATGTGTAGCACACTTTCATTAGCAGTAAAAGATATGACTTGATTTAGTGTGCTTGTTTTTGTAACAAAATGACAATGGTGCCCAATGAGCCAGGACCACCCTTCATTAGTGACAGATCTTTCCTAATAAATTTCGTTTTAAATTGACTCATTAGGTGATCCGTCTTGGTTGTACTGTGTTCCCTGGGGCATGCGCAAGATGCTGGTCTGGCTTAAAGAGCAGTATAACAATCCCGAAATCATTATCACTGAAAATGGCTTCAGTGTCCATGGAGAACATGATTTAGAGCTTCCTGTTGCTCTTGATGACAAAGACAGGGTCACTTACCTCAGGGGATACATTAATGAGGCTTTGAAGTCTGTAAAACTGGACGGTGTTAAACTAAAAGGATATTTTGTTTGGTCATTGATGGACAACTTTGAATGGGATGATGGTTATCCGTTTAGATTTGGTATTCATCATGTAAACTTTGATGATCCCAAACGCCCACGCACTCCAAAAAGATCTGCACAGGTCTACAAGGAGATTGTGGCAAATAATGGATTTCCTTGAATTGAATACAGTGACATATTTTTTGCATCCAAAGTTTGTAAGCAAGGTAGATGTAGTTTACATAAAGTGTGGTAAACTTAAAAAGCCATAAGATGACTAATGTAACTTAAACCTATCTTGTTTTAAGCATGACATGGCTCATTTAAACAACCTTTATCAGTCTTTGTTGAGCATCGTTCCTTAAGTAGTAAATTCATAATGTTTTCAGAGTTAAGCTAAGGGTAGCCAGCACAACAGACGAAGAGAAGTAAGGGAGCAGGCACAAGATAAACATAATGATTGTGACAAGGAGGACAGGCATCTTCTTAATATCATATATACTGCTTCCCTGTTAGCATACATATATTTCTTATGCATTTGTTACATAAGCTAGAAGATAAATTAATCAATATTTTTTGAACTGCATATGTTTTGACCTACTCGCTGGAACCAAACTTTTTTTTTTGCACCCCACCACAGTTGATAGTAAAATATGCCCCTGGCTGAAGACTCCTTTATAGTAAATATAATATTTAGTATTTCCCATTTTGTAATGGTTATGGGACTGAATGAAGTCAGTCATCATATGAGTGATGCAAGGTCATCTGATTTGTTTAATCCTGAGTATGATTAATATTACAGACACAATCTTGTTCTGCTGCCAAATAATTATTTTATTCAAAATCTCTTTCTGCCCGTGCCTCTTTTAAGAAAAGTATTTTCTTACGCTTGAGCTAGTACATTACATGTAACTTGAATTGTACGATCTTCAACTAATCTTTTCGAGAAATACAAGTGTACTATGACTATAGTAATAATTGTTCTTATTGTTCCTTACAATAATATTACTTCCTTCTATACATAAAAAACATAATGGATAATTTTCATCAATTATATGAAACCAGACTGACCTATGCAAAATCTTATCATTTACCCAAAGTTGGGCCTAACTATGGGAAATTAAATAGTCACTTTAACAATGCATAACTCTGGAGTTCTACTAAACAAGATCCACCAATCACTTTTTAATCTAATGAAGAAATTGTGGGGTCTTACCATTCAAATGAAAACCCTCTGGCAGAATATATTTTTTGCATATTGTGCAAAAAGAAATTTGATTCATTATTTTTCTATTACATTTTTTAATTTGGGTAGTATGGGGAGTGAGGAGGGTAGTTCAAAAATAATCAACACATGCCCCTCCCTACCCAGCCATATGTTGAGGTGTGGGTATTTTCATTAATCTGTCATGCATATTCATATATCTTCTTTGCGACGAGCATCTGCTATATCATTTTCATCCCAAATGCTGTGATACTTGTGGTCAGCAAGCTCTTCCTGTTCAGATAATCTTGCAAAGTGAAGCAACAGCTCGAAAGTTCCTCACTGTCAGACTGTGTCCCCCTCCTCCTCCAGCGTTTCTCATAAACCTGTAGAAATCTCCAGGTCTTGCTTGTTTAACCGCCGGGTGGTTTTCAATCACAACACTTGCCCGTGTTTCCATGTGTTCTGCGATGCCAAACAATCGCCGATGTTCGGCTACAATGTTCTCACCACTGCCATCTCGTCTGATCAATTTCAAGAACAACTCACCCTTTCGATTTCCCCAGCCTTGGTCGTTCCAAATAACGGACAAACTCAATTTCTTGACAGTACTAGAAAGAGCCGGTCCGTCAAAGTACAATTCAGGCCAGAAATGACCATCTCGAGGGCCGTCGATCTTAAAGTCTTCTCCTCGCCATTCCTCGTCATACAAAACAACTTGAGGCATTACTGAGTGCATTCTCTTGCATGTTCTACCTAAGTTTACAATGTCTTCAGGGTTGAGAAATGCAGCTATGTGTCTCAGGGCCAAGTCGTCTAATCTTTCCATGGCAATTAAAAAGACAAGTCAATAACTTAACAGGTAAATTTTACCAGAAGTTAAGACAGACTCACCGACCGACGAAACTGAAAGTTGATCAGCTGACCCCAGAAAACAAAGGCTCACTAAAAATGTTAATTTCGTGCGTAAACAATGTTGAAAACACATAAATATTAAAAAAATAGTTTAAAATTTACAAACGCAGCTCAGATCACCACCAAAAGTTCATGAACCTCGCCTGATGTTGGTTTCAGGGCTCCTATCGAAAGGACCGGTTTCCGTGACACTCAAAGGGAGCAGGATGTCACGCAACAAAATAAGCTCCATGTGTGCAACTTCAGTCAAAACGCTTTTATTTAAGAGAACATCATAGGCACATTTTTATTCAAAATGATTAAAATTAGTGACCGTGTATTCTGTTGCTTACTCGACTTAATACACGAGCGAGTTTAGCTTGACAAACAAAAAAATTTCTTGGTAAGGTTATTGTCATTCTACAACGTGGCGACCACTCGGAAGTTCCACACCTTCAGACTATGTCCTCCTCCTCCTCAAACGTGTCTCATAAACCTGTAGAAATCTCCCGGTCTTGCTTCGGTAACGACGGGATGATGTTGAATCGCTGTCTTAGATGATTTTGTGAAGTGCTCTGCAATCCCAAACAACGGCCGATATGAGGCTATCAGAGCTGGTTCACCACCGCCGTCTTATCAAATTCAACCACAACTGGCCCTTGCGATTTCCCCAACCTTGGTCGTGCCAAGTGACTGACAAATTCAGTTTCTGGACGGTATGAGAAAGCTCCGGGCCGTCAAAATACAATTCCGGCCGGCAATAGTATCCAGCATTCACCTTAAAGTCCTTCCCTCGCCATTCCACAACTCGGGGCATCGCTGAATACATTCGCTTGCATGTTCTGCCTACCCGGATGATGTCTTCTGGGTCGAGGAATCGTGAAATATGTCTCAAAGATAAGTCGTCTAATCTCTCCATGAAACTACACAATCATGATAATAATTAGGGTACGTTCTTTTCAGCGCTTGATTCATTTTCATTAGGCCCTTTCGATATTCTTCATGCGGAAAAAATACCAAAAAAATTGCGTTACTTCCGATTGCCTCCAAATTTTGGCCCATGGGACATTAAAGCGGAGCTCTCGCGCGCGCAGCGGAGTACCATCTATGCATCCAAGAAATTTTGGTTGTGGGAAAATCGTCAGCTTGAGAAAACATCCACTGGTTTCAACGCAAAATGAAACCAGTGGTGGCATCGCGAAATGTCATCTGTTTTCTCCGCCCCATTCACGTTAGCAGGAGAAATGACAAACTTCCTGTTAGGCAGCTGTTAGAAAAGGTATCCAATAACCAGTCTCCGGACTTTATCGTGGGCTCAGGTATACAAGGGTCCCCAATAGGGTTCTTCAATCCCGTGATCCCGACTTTTACATTTATAGGCGTGCCCTTTTTTATCATAAGAGTGCCAAGATTTTTCGTAGCGGTCCGATAATATCCGAAGACGTTCCGAAGATGTTACGAAGAGTTCCGTCTAACACGAACACAGGAATACAAAGGAACATTGAGTTCCCTACTAAAAAAAGGGAATTCGGAGAAAGTAGATCATCCACATAGACTTTTCTTTTCTCTCTTTGGTTCTGTTTTGTTTAAATAATTAATATACCGTAAAATTCCGAAAATAAGCCCCGTGGCTTATATTTTTCAAAAGCCGTTTTTGAGGGGCTTATTTTTGGAGGGGCTAATATTCGGAGGGGATTATCTACGGAGGGAAATTTGCGTTTCAAAATCGATTGGGCTAGCCTTATAGTTGAAAGTAAATTTATCGTTTTTGCTTTGTTTTACTTTGTATTTGAGGGTAATTTTCCAAGTACAAGCCCCCAGGGTGCTTATATTTGGAGGGGCGAGTTAACGGAGGGTTTTTTGCATTACCGGTTTGGGGGGCTTATATTTGGAGGGGCTTATACATGGAGGGGCTTATTTTCGGAATTTTACGGTATTATTCAAAATGTGTCAGTTAATGCTGTAATGGCTCAAACTTTTCTACCAGGCATGACAAATTGTAACACAGGCGTTAGTAGGCGTGAGATCCAAGTTTTCGATCCGCAGGCGTGACAATCACGACCAAGGCGTGACAATCAGGTTATTTTTGGGATCCAATCTTGCGCGCATACATTTCAAACCTGAATCTTGCCCCCATTTTGATCCCGAATCCCAAGCGTAAGTTAAGGGAAATCCTCATTGAGGTGACATGCTTTTTTAAAGATCCCTGCTGACCAATTGCCAATATCAAGTTAAACACAGGTGGTATACGCCTTGGACTCCAAGCAGGTGCTAGTAAGTTTGATATTTAACAACAATTTTTTTTCAATGCATTGGTAACCAAAGTTTACCACCCAAGGTGCTCCGCTGATATGGCCAGTTTAGTTTTGGAATTAACTGGGTGCTTTTAAAATTTTTCACTTAAAAATCATCATTTACCGGTATTTTTGTGTTCATACTCTTTTTGTTGACAAAAATGCTTACTGGTCAGGTCTAGCATAAACATTTTACAGTTACTGCACTAAGTCCAAAGTGCTATTAATTTTTTGTTTTCTAAAAGTTTTAAAAGATTTTTGCAAAGGTAGGCAATCCTTTCCAACAAATAAACTCTCAAATCTCATCCTCTATTGACAGTCAGCAATGTTGACACTGAGGTCAGCAATAGTTTTAGCTTAGTCTGCATGGCAGGCATTAAAAGGAAAATGAAAAAGGGATTTTGAGCAGGGCACTTCCTCTCTAACTAACTAGCTTCATTCTTTCCCCCCTCACAATTCAACGGCATATGGGATAGACTGGCATTTTCCTAACATATCAACAAAATCTGGGATGATCAGGAAACAGTGAATTCCCTGATATTTATCAAAAAATTTTAAGGGTATAGCAAATTATGAATAAAGGAAAGAAACAATGACTGCGGTCATTATTTTGAAAGATGTGCCTGAGCCAACACTTCTTTGCATAAATATAAATTTAAGATGGTCACTTTTATATATTTTACGATTAATAAACAAAAAATTGGATGAGGGTTTTGTGATATCTGGAATAACTGGGGTTGAGGTAAGTGTTATCAGCCGAGCCGGAGGCCAAGGCAGATAGCACTTAACAAGACCTTGATTATTAGGATATCACAAAAACTGAATCTAATAATAATATTATTGTTTTATTATAAAAATAAATGTCTGGAAGAAAATAACAAAATACACCCCATCGCAAGGAATCTGACTTGATATTGCTATTGAAAATCATGCATTGCGCACACATCCTACAGATGAGTCAGTTGCCTGCTCGCACATAACTAACTGCGCTTTTCACATGTGAAAATATCACCGTTGCTATGGCTTCATAATAAACTGCACCTTTCAGACCAAAAAAACTATTTCAATAAAATGCTTTGCTATTTCATTGGTGTTTATTTAATAAATAGAACATTACATGGCTGCTTGGAGATACGAAATTTCTCTTCTTGTGTTGAAAAAAATATTTCACTCGTTCACTGCGCTCACTCGTGAAATATTTTTGAACAGTCGAAAAGAAATTTCGTATCCCCAAGTGACCTTGTAATACCCTCTATTTATTACAATTCAGCCAACGCAACTCTGGTTAGTGCAAATTACATTTTGACAAATAAAATTTAATATCGATGCTGAGAAAAACAGTACCAAAATATTTTGTCTTTTGTTTGAGCACTGTCTCTGAAACAAGGGGAATGTTACTTTAAAATAATTTCTAACAGTATCCCACACCCAGCTGCCCACACCATTTGCTGACTTTACTTATCATCAGCAAAATTCTGGAAAAATGTCTGGAGTTAGACAAGTTAACTTTTGTTTTGATTTTAAATCACCTGCTTTCAATGGTTTTTTTGAGCTCCTACAAAGTATGGTAAGTGTGCTAGAACCGCAGACAAAACTGCTGGGACAGTTCCATCTATTTTGTAACTTTTGCACCATATTAACAGCATTCTTCTCCTCTAAACAGAAAAATTAAGAACCCTCCCCACCCCCTATTCAAAGTTGTTTTGGTCTAAAAACCAACATGTATAGCAATATTGGATAGGGGGATGCAAACGGCTATTCATTTGGTGATGGTTTTCATTTTTGCCAGGGTGACTGGAAAAAATAGGTCTTTTTGCGATGTGCTTCAACAGGTTTTGTCAGAGGTTGTAGTTTCTGACGTAAATAAGAACCATAGATAGGACTTAACAACAAACAATATTGTGAATTTCTGCGTAGTACTCCCAAACTCCCTGAAAGGTGAAGAACACTCCAGCTTTTATGATTTTTTAAGTAGTTAGTTACTCCTGGCCCAGAAACCAAAAATTGAGGAAATTACTAGTAATGGCCTTTTTGTCCTTGTGAGTATAAAAAATTTCAGGACATTTTTTATATTAACCAGTTAATGCATATTTTGGAGTGGGAGGAGGCAAATCTTGATGTACCTACTCTAATATTGAATGCTTTGTAAATAGCAAATACTTTTTTTTTTCAGCTATTATTTACTTTCAATATTATATGTAAATTGTGCCCTGTATGTAGAAGTATGTTCTCTTTGCTTTTTTCTGTTCAACCCTTGTTACTGTAACTCTTAGTTTGCATTACTTCCTGTCATTGACTAGCACTATCTTATTTTGTGGGTAAGGACTGTTGTATGGGTATAATTATTTGTAACGAAGATTTTTCGAAATTGAAAGTCCATGATTTAAAAAGATATTTAAAAGAGCGTGGTATCCAGTTAGAGTGGGAAGGAAGATTACTCTGAGGAGAATCTCCGTTCGTTTAAAAGTTTGCTGGGCTTTAAATTATTTCGTGATGGCCATGTTATTGTTAAAGCTGAGTTTGGTAAAAAGGATCCTGTAAAACCACATAATTTTCAACCAGGACATGATTCCAGCTCAATGGAGAGAAAAGCTGAGGAGGGGTCTACAACAGTTATACCCTCAGTCAGTGGCCATTCATTTCTCC